GGCCTCCACGCTCGAACGGATGGCGCGACCGCCCGACAGGGTCGTCGTGCTGCCGGACGTCGTCGAAAGGCTGCTCTCCTCAACTTCGGTCTCCTCACGCGTCTCTGTCTCCACCGTCGTGCTCTTCTCGCCGGACTTCGTCTCCGTCTCCGTCGTGGTCTCCACCTCGATCGTCTTCACCAGCTCGCCGCTGGCAGACGTCGACGTGCGCGTTGTCGTCTTCACCGTCTTCGTCACGATGCTGCCGTCAGCCTCCTGCGACTGGAACACCTCCGTCTGCACCGACTCGCCGGGGGCGGCACCGGCCTCCACGCTCGAACGGATGGCGCGACCACCCGACACGGTCGTCGTGCTGCCGGACGTCGTCGAGAGGCTGCTCTCCTCGACCTCGGTCTCCTCACGCGTCTCTGTCTCCACCGTCGTGCTCTTCTCGCCGGACTTCGTCTCCGTCTCCGTCGTGGTCTCCACATCGATCGTCTTCACCAGCATCGCCACTGGCAGATGTCGACGTACGCGTTGTCGTCTTCACCGTCTTCGTCACGATGCTGCCGTCAGCCTCCTGCGACTGGAACACCTCCGTCTGCACCGACTCGCCGGGGGCGGCACCGGCCTCCACGCTCGAACGGATGGCGCGACCACCCGACCACGGTCGTCGTGCTGCCGGGACGATCGTCGAAGAGCCTGCTCTCCTCGACCTCAGTCTCCTCACGCGTCTCTGTCTCCAACCGTCGTGCTCTTCTCGCCGGGACTTCGTCTCCGTACTCCAGTCGTAGTCTCCACATCGATCGTCTTCACCAGCTCGCCACTGGCAGATGTCGACGTACGCGTTGTCGTCTTCACCGTCTTCGTCACGATGCTGCCGTCAGCCTCCTGCGACTAGAAACACCTCCGTCTGCACCGACTCGCCCGGAGGCGGCACCGGCCTCCACGCTCGAACGGATGGCGCGACCCACCCGACACGGTCGTCGTGCTGCCGGACGTCGTCGAGAGGCTGCTCTTCTCGACCTCGGTCTCCTCACGCGTCTCTGTCTCCACCGTCGTGCTCTTCTCGCCGGACTTCGTCTCCGTCTCCGTCGTGGTCTCCACCTCGATCGTCTCCACCAGCTCGCCGCTAGCAGA